CCCCATATATGAAGTACCCTAGAGCCCAAGACTTGAGGGTTTAAGGGGTTTAGGGCGAGGCTTCAGGCGACATGGGCTCAGCCGCCAGGTCCTAAACTAGAAAAGCCCCAACCTGTAACCCAAAATCTCAGGCAGGTTCTGATACAAGCTCCCCCTAAGGGTCCATGTGCCCAAACAGGGAATAAAGTACTTCCTATACAGGGTCTGTGGGGCCGAAGTATATAATAATAAGGTACATGGACCCTTCGTGCACGGTATCTTCCTTGATTACTTATAAGTAGGGTTACAAGTACCCTAAATAAGGTTATACCCATAGTTACCCTACTTATAACCCTACTTATAAGTACCCATGAGCCTCCAAGTAAGCTCTTTCTTGTTGAAGATCTGGACAGGACTTATACGCTCTGCCACACCCATGCCTCTCAAGTACTGGTGGCGGAGGAAGGCGCGCCAGGGGTTCATCGTTGGGGAATGTTTGTGAGGCTTATCCGAAATTCTGCGCCCTTTTGGTACCTGGTAGTATTATAGCACATCGCCTGAATAAAGTCCATAACTTAGATCAACCCTGAGGTGTGTGGCTGGAGGGGGCTCAGGGTACTGCTATGCACTATCTTGCACGGGGCTTCCGGCAAGGGAAGCAAGCGTCTGGGGAACCCTAAACCCTAAACCCTAAACTCCCTAAACTCCCTAAACTCCCTAAACTCCCTAAACTCCCTAAACTCCCTAAACTCCCTAAACCCTAAACCCTTTGAGGTAGACTGGGACCCACAGTAGGTCCTTATTCCCTTTCTTTAGGGTTGGTTCCCTTATAAGCCGCTTTTATAAGCCAAAACATGGCACCCTTTCAATTCCCAGGAGTCCCTTGGGTCTAGTAGAAGGATGAGCGTTCTTAGAGTTTAGGGGGGCTATAATGTAGATCAATCTCCAGGATGGCAAAGTTTCTGACTGAAAAGCACGCAGCGCAGAACCCCAAACCCTCAAACGTGAACCCGAAGTTCTTGAGACCAGCAACAACTACAAAGAGTCCACTAAAGCCCTCCCCCCCACTTGACTCCCCCCCCCTCCCCCCCTCCCCCCCCCCCCCCCCCCCCCTCCCCCCCCCCTCCCCCCCCCCTCCCCCCCCCCCCCCCTCCCCCCCCCTCCCCCCCCCCTCCCCCCCCCCCTCCCCCCCCCCCTCCCCCCCCCCTCCCCCCCCCCTCCCCCCCCCCACCCCCCCCCCTCCCCCCCCCCTCCCCACCTCCCCCCCCCCCCCCCCCCGCTCCCCCCCCCCCCCCCCTCCCCCCTCCCCCCCCCACCCCTCCCCCCCCTCCCCCCTCCCCCCCCCTCCCCCCCCCACCCCGACGAGCACCACAACCCAAGCCCTGGCACAAACCTCCATGTCCTTCATCACGCAGGCAAGCAAGAAGTGCTGCTCGCATCCAGACGTCAGGAGTGGCGCGGCCTACTGAGGCCAGACCGGAAGCAAAAGTTGCGATGTACATTTGGGGTTTAGTGGATGGATCAGGTGCATGCAACATAGGCTATTTGGGTCATGCATGCACATGCAACAGTCGTTCACCGATCGCTTGCGGTGCAAGAGCACCACACACAAAAGGTTCGCCCCTGCATTCGAGAAGAAATCACAACTCGGTCAGTGGAAGTGTTGGACCTGCCCCAGATAAGTGCCATGAAGATGCAGCACATACTCGTCTCTTGCTGGGGCTTATGACAGATGTTGCTTCCCCCAGGCCTTGTCATCTTTAAACTTAAACCCTTCAACCCTAAACCCTATACCCTAAAAACCCTAAACCTTGTGCAGGATCGAGTGCCTCCTCGAGGCCCTTTCATCCGACAGTAAGGAGTCGGCTCTGCAGGCGTGCATCGCGATCCTCGGGAGTCAGTCCTTTTTTGTTCCATGTTGTTTTGGGTTTAGGCTTCAGGGTTTAGGGTTGAGGGTTTAGGGTTCAGGGTTTTGTTGTTCTACGAATTGCTTAAGAATCCCTGGCAAAATGAAAGAAGAAACGAATTCTTCCTTATAAGGGCATCGTAGGGATGAGGATCTTAGAAGGTTTTAAATGGTTCTGAAGCAACTTGTAGTATTGTGGAATCGAAAAGACGGGACCTCAGCATCGAACCTCGCACCTAGCATTGTGCAAGAGCCCCCTTCTACCCTACAACCTCCCAAGAACCCCAAGCCCGCAGCCTACAAAGCTGCAGGACTGAGGGCGTGGAGGTGCTTCTAAAATTAGGGTTTAGGGTTTAGGGTTTAGGGTTTAGGGTTTAGGGTTTAGGGTTACGGTTTAGGGCTACGGCCTGAACCCACTCAGGAAGAATGTGACTGACAGCGCCAACGCTACGCTCTCTCTGACCTTCCCAACCCACACGGGCAACGTGAGCCTTGGGAGTTTGAACATGTCTGGGTTCAGGGTTCGGGGTTTAGGGTTTAGGTTTTAGGGTTTGGGGTTTGGGTTTTAGGGTCAAAGCACCGTTTGAGATTCTAGGGTTTGGGGTTCTGTGCAAGCTGGCAAGGTGTCAGTGGAACCCCAAATGTTCAAGAAAACCCAAAACACCCTCCTTCCCCAAATCCTCAACCTCACACCCGACAGCCCAAGCATCCCTCCATACACCCCAACCCCTAAACCCTAAACCCTAAACCCTAAACCCTAAACCCTAAACCCTAAACCCTAAACCCTAAACCCTAAACCCTAAACCCTAAACCCTAAACCCTAAACCCTTTGAATGGCTTGAGGACTGAGCTGGTCCGCTGCGCGGAGAAGTTGGAATCCCCCGGCACCGAGTTCTTCGCGCGAACCTACTACTCTGCCGCCTCTCCGGCTGGAGTCTTTCATTTGTAAGAAGGGTTTAGGGTTTAGGGTTAAGGGTTAGGGTTTGCAAGAAGGGTTTAGGACTGAGAGAGATCTATGAGAACTTCTCTCTGAATCCCAGACCCCTTGAGAGGATCCCAAAAGTAGGTCCAAGAATTACCCAATAGTCTTAGTAGAAAAGGGTACCATTTGGGGGTTCTTCTGAGGGTCCCGTACGTGTTTAGGGGTTCTACTTTTTTGGATCCTCCCAAGAACCTGCAGGGACCCTCTATCTTATTCTCCTATATAACCCTATTATATATATATATATATACCCTATAAGCCTAAGTAGCCCCCAAATAATCCCTAAAGAGACCCGAAGGTCCCTTGTAAGGGGGACTCCTTTAGTCCCTTAAATCTGAGGCAGTGCAAGTTTAGACTCATGTCCAGCCACAGGTGCCCCGTGTGCCACTCCCTTCTTTAGGCCGCGCCTTGCAATTGTTGTTCCCAGGCCTAAACCCTAAACCCTAAACCCTAAACCCTAAACCCTAAACCCTAAACCCTAAACCCTAAACCCTAAAACCGACCCCGACCCCTCTCCTGCCCCCAAGTTGTTGCCTTCTCTTTTCGCACGGGAAGCTTGCCCCTAAGCCCCCCGAAACCCGTTCAGCAAGGTCAAGCCGAAACCTTCCAACCCTGTAGGAAGGAGGGTTTAGGGTTTAGGGTTTAGGGTTTAGGGTTTAGGGTTTAGGGTTTAGGGTTTCAGGTTTAGGGTTTAGGGTTTAGGGTAAACCCTACACCCACATGTTGAAGAACCAGGAAGGATTGGAACCTGAGCCCTCTGGCTTCTTATGCCGCATCCATTACCACGGAGCCACGGGTACCTCTGTAATGGGAGAGGGCCATGCCCTTTTTAAGGGGACTGTCATGCAGTTCGGGCACTTTCTTGGGGGGGCTGTACGAGGGGGAGCCCTTCTAAACGGGACTGTAACCCTAAACCCTAAAGTGGGGGGGACCTAAACCCCAAAAGCCCTGACTGCTTTGACATCCGGGGTTGGTTTCCTCTTCCCCCTTGTCGAGGGTGATGTAGCTGTTGGCCGTGTAGGCTCCAGTTATTGCTAAATTAGCGAGGTAGGCGAAATTAGCAACCTCACCCAAGGAGAAATGAGCAATCTCACCCGAGGAGGGGTCGCGAACTAATATAGTTCAGCCTGCTGAGGTTTAGGGAACTTAGGGTTTAGGGTTCAGGGTTTAGGGTTTAGGGTTTTGCCTGTGAGGTCCCTGCGGTGCTCGTTCCGGATTCCCTGACCACCTTCCACTGTGTGTCTGGCCTCGCCACCAACCACTGCCCGGTCGCCTCCAGCACGATTGCTTTGCTCACCAAGGGGCATTATTTGCCTCGTTGGGGCCATTCGGCGTACGCGTAGAACACCGTAGGACGCCGTAGGACATCGTAGGACATCGTAGAACATCGTAGAATCGTAGAACTCTGGAGGGCCTGTGCGCAGATCATGCAGAGTGTCCAGGAAAAAAAGGTGCCACGACCAGGAGGGTGCAAGGCAGTTTAGGTGGCAGGGTATCACCCGTTTAAGTCTAAGGGGCTCCCTCCCGAAGCAGAAGCATAGTTTGAGGAGCCACGCTGGCACTGTCTGAAAAGTTGTTCGAGAACCTACGGCCTTCAGCGTTAGGCAATGCAAGGTAGCTGAGGTTTCTGGCTCGACCTGTCCAGCCTCAATTTGAGGGTTGTGATACGTGCGCTGGAGGGCTGAGGGCCGTGATTTTGGGCGTCAAGCAAGGGTTGTCATGTTCAACGTGGCGCTGCCTTGGGCCAATTTGGATGCCCTGCAGCGTGCAGACAGATGACGTCAAGGTGTTCATTTCGACTTCGTTGGCCTCGGAAGAAGCCCAACCCCAAGCCCTGAAGCCCTGAAGCCCTGAACCCTAAATCGTAAAGCCCTATGAACCCAGTGAACAACGAAGCCCAAAGAATCAACAAACGAAGCCCTCAGCCCTGCTATCCAGTCCAAAGTACCGAGTGCGAATGTCCATGTGAAGTAGGGTTTATATTTCTTGTGCCCCCAAAAGGACACCTGGTATATACACTCACCAATAGTAAAAAGGAACCTTATGTACACTCACCAAAAACAGTAATATAAACCCTGCTTCAATGTCTGCCGACTGCGAAGGTCGTTCCCATCAATCATGAGTCGTCTATCCATGGCCGCCTGGACTGCAAGCGGTCTCTTTAGGCTGTACAGCGAAGGGGACCCTCTTCACTCTTTAGGGAATTCAGCGCTTCTCTACATGTCCCGAGCAGACATGTTTCAACAACATTGTTCGGGCTCCAAGTGTAGTAGGGTACACACTAGCGCCGAGGTTGGCTGGGACTTCGGGGTGAGTTCATCAGGTTAGTCGCCGGCCAAAGGCCCGAGTTGTCAAGATCGCCCATCTAGAAGCGACCTGTGAAGCTCTCAGGGGTGGTTTAGGGTTTAGGGTTAGGATAAAGATTCTATTGCCGCGGTGCTACACCCACCATTATGTAGGCTTTCCAGGAAGGAGTGTCTCATCTACAGGCGATCAGGGGCATATCTTGTTCCTTTGTCGGGGCTCAGGTTCCTGCGGCGGTAGAATTAGGGAAGCATCCTGAACTCTACCCCTACGGCCCTGAGGGTCCATGTATATGCCTGGCAGGAGCGCCACCGAGTCACTCGAAATGTATCTCTCCAGGGCCAGTTCTTGTTTGCTTTCGTTGTTAATGAGTGTAGATAAATATTGATAAAACCGATAAACATAAACCCTAAACCCTAAACCCTAAACCCTAAACCCTAAACCCTAAACCCTAAACCCTAAACCCTAAACCCCCCAAGCCCTTTGCACCTTCGAGCTATTCAATCCAAAGCCACCAACGCCCCAGAAGTCCGACCATCACATGGTTGCCAAGGCTGCGGTGCGTAAGAGCAGGTCCTCCAGAGCTCCTTGGCGACAGAGAAGACGCTGTTGTCAGGCTTTAGGGGTTAGGCGTTAGGGGTTTAGGGTTTAGGGGCGGCTTAGAGGTTTAGGGGTTTAGGGTTTCATCAATTGCGCTTTTATTGTTTTCATTTATTTATTGTGCTTTTTTTTAGGGGGGGGAGGGGGGGGGGGGGGGGAGGGGGGGGGGGAGGGGGGGGGGGGGGGGGGGAGGGGGGGGGGGGGGGGGGGAGGGGGGGGGGGAGGGGGGGGGGAGGGGGGGGGGGAGGGGGGGAGGGGAGTGTAGAGGGACAAAAGAGTGCGTGCGTGGCAATTTCTCCAAGGGTCCATGTGCCCGGGCCTTAAAATACTTCCCTGAATCTTGGAGTACTATACTTTAATACTGTTATTGGTTCTGGGTTCCTATAAAACCTACTGAGACCTAAAAACTATATACTTTTTTTCCAGGGTCCACCGAAAGCTAAGTTCCTATGTGGGGGGGACTTTGGGTCCCAAAGTATGTAACAAGGGGGTACATGGGCCCTCCCAGAGTGGGCCCTGATAGGTTCCCTTCTGAGCACCGCTGAGTTTAATGACCTCCATGGCCGCAAAGCTCATGGCCCATGGCCTCACTCTTAAAGCTCAGTTTTAAGGGCTCCAGTGCATGCCCGCTCTCCCCACTCCTCGCTGCCTCCGCCCCCCTCCAGCCCCACCCTCCCTCCCCAAACCCCACCCTATGCCCTACAGCCCCCTGACCCCCTCTACGGTCAGTGCCTCCTGGCCCCTCCGCCCCCACCCTCCCTGCCCCTCCGCCCCCAACCCCCCCTCCCCAAACCTCCAGCGAGGGGCCGTGAGCTTTTGCCCCCTTGCCTCCACCTCTTGGTGCCGGCCCAACCGCCTCCCTCCCCTTCCTGCCTCGTAATGGAGTGTTATAAGGGCTTGCTCGAGCCCTCCCGCCCTCCCAACTGGCTCCCCCGGCCCCCTTGCAACCCCCTCCCCCCCCCTCCCACCTTGCCTTGCTGTTAGCAATGAAGTGTTGCCCGAGCCCCTCCCGCCCTCCCACTGCCCCTACGCTCCTTGCCCCTTGCCTCCACTCCTCCCCGTCCCGAAAGCAAAAAAGGCACCCTTTTACCTTCTTTAAAGGTTCTGAAAGTATGGCCCCTTGGGTTGTAGAGGGCTCTTGGGCTCCCCTTGTAAGGGCCCGTATTAAAAGACCTACCCTCAACCCTAAACCCGGTACAAGTACAAGTGGCTCTCGCTTTTAATATCAAGGACGCGCGAATCCAAAGGGTAGCGGCAGAGTCAAAAACTCATTGATGGAACCATTTCCTTACCTCGGCTGTGGGAGCAGCGGCTTTCACGACACATTTCGCGAAGATTGTGTGCTCGCGTTTAGGGTTTAGGGCTGTGGGTTTATGCTTTAGGGTTTAGGCTTTAGGGTTTAGGGTTCAGGGTAATTTTAGGGTGTAGGGTTTAGCTGGCCTGTCCTCTAAAACACCCAGCTGTGCGGCGCGCGGCTGGTGCCTCTCATCACCCGATGCCTCCCTGGGCTGGGGGGTGGGGGGTTGTGTCGTTTTATAGAGTGAACCTGGAACAACGAGTAGTTACAACGCATTCTTCACATCCTCTAAAGTATGAGTCTTGAAAGATGTTCTTGTGAGTGTACAAAACACTCTGCTTCACCTTCATCGCAGAGACTTCGGTCCGCATACCCCCCTAAAATCTATTCTAATTATTAAGGACCCTAGATTAGCATTGTTGTTAGCAGTCGCAGAAACTGATACTCAAGCTTTCGTCCTGAACGTGACAAGGAAGGATCCTTGATGGGACGTGACGAGGAGGACCTGATGCATGCTACCGAACTTTCGTGGTTGCCTTGGGCGCCAAACGAACCCTGAAACTAAAAGGGTTTATGGTTCACGTACCCGAATAGGGATGATAGTAGAATAGGGTACATGATCCCTAAAAACCCTAAACCCTAAACCCCAAACCCTAAACCCTAAACCCTAAACCCTCAACCCCAAGCGAGGCTTCGAGGTCAGCTTGGCTTTGCAGTCCTTCGCTCGATTTGGGTTTGGGACTCCCAGCCTCACACATACTTGAGGTCGGAATAATTGCTACGCTCGTTTACAAAATGCCTTACTTATGGTCCCTATATACTGGTACGAAAAATGACCCCGCAAAAACTCACTCAAATTATTAAGGCCCCGGTTTTACATTCCGAAGCTTGAGGCCGTTTGATTCAACGCCACAGGGCTCCCGATCGGGTCCGTACCCTAATTTCAGGGCCCGTATGGTAGTAGGTACTCAGAAAGTTAGAGGGCCCCAATCTTAGTCAATTCTCCCTAAACCCTAAACCCCAAACCCTAAACCGCTTGAAGGAGATGCCCTTCTTGGAGAAGGAAATCAAGGTGGCATGGTTTGGGGTTCGGGCGCTTTCTTTTGGCATCCACGTTGGCCGAAGCCCTAGACTCAAAACTCCAACCGTAAACCCTAAACCCAATCCCTAAAACTCCCTTGAAGGGACCATAGAATAAGAATCTAACCCCCCCCCCCCCCGGCCCCCCGGGCTAAAAAAAAACAAACTGAACACTAAACCCTAAACCCCAAACCCCCCCCCCCCCCCAATTCCCAAAAAGCCGTACATAAAGAACTCGTAAGTTCCGAGGCCACATAATTCCCAAAGCCACGCCGGGACATCCGTCGCGGCTCTTAGGGTTTCGGCCAGGCCTCTGGGGTTAGTTTAGGGTTTTAGGGTTTAGGGTTTTAGGGTTTAGGGTTTTAGGGTTTAGGGTTTGGGGTTTTAGGGTTTTAGGGTTTAGGGTTTTAGGGTTTAGGGTTTAGGGTTTTAGGGTGTAGGGTTTAGGGTTTAGGGGTTAGGGTTTTAGGGTTTAGGGTTTAGGGTTTTAGGGTGTAGGGTTTAGGGTATTTAGGGTTTACGGTTTAGGGTTTAGGGTTTTAGGGTTTAGGGTTTCTCGGCTTCTGAAGCAGATGTGCCTGTGGCAGGGCTACAAGCAGGTCATTTGCCAGCCTGCCAGCTTGCTCCTGGTCCCTTCGGCTAAGTTTGTCTGGGTTGTGCTTGGTTTAGGGTTTAGTGTTTAGGGTTTTTAAGTTCACTTCTTTCCTTGTAAGGGAATCTATTCACAAATAATTCTCAAAAGGATAAGAGCACAACTCAGCTGTGTGAAGCCTGGGGTTCAAAGGTTGAGGCTTTAGAGCTATACTTCACCCTAAACCCTAAACCCTAGAACCCCTAAACCCCTAAAACCTAGAACCCCTAAATCGCAAACCCTAAACACTAAACACTAAACCCTAAACCCTAAACCCTAAACCCTAAACCCTAAACCCTAAACCCTCACTCTAAACTCTACATCCTAAACCACAAGCCCCAAAACCCAGGGCTATGGACTTGTAATTTGGGTTGGGCCAGTCGGACCGTTAAACTCCTAAACCCTAAACCCTAAACCCTAAACCCTAAAACCCTAAACTCGAGAACAACACTCCCAAAACCCCCGGATGCGCGAAACCTTGTGTGGAGGCGGCGTTCCACCACTGGGGTTTAGGATTTAGGATTTAGGGTTTAGGGTTTAGGGCTTCGGAAAGTTCAGAGAGATCCTAAGGGTAGTTTCATGGGCCCTTAAAATGGTTCCTTACCTCCTTTCAAGGGTTCTGATGAATGGACCCTTAATTTTAACGCTACGCGACCCGCCTCGGCCCGGCCCAGCGCATCCGCGTGAGCATGGTGATTCCGCAGCGACTTGGGGGGGAGGGGGGAGGGGAGGGGGGAGGGGTGGGGAAAACTGTTGCTGGCAGAAGGGTGGAAGCCCTAAAAACTAAACCGTAACCCTAAACCCTAAACCCTAAACCCTAAACCCTAAACCCTAAACCCACACGTCTCAGCCCAGGTGTTCGTGCCATTTGGTTTCATGGGCCGCACCATGGAGTGGACACTCGGTCAAAGAGCCTTAAGGCAGTGCGCTGACAGCATGATGCTCATCTAGCGCCCGCACATGGTGTTCGACCTCGTCTGTGTATCACGAGTGTAACAATACTCCTAAACCCTAGGCCCTAAACCCTAAACCCCAAAATCTAGGCTGGCTCACCTTTCAGGCGTTTAGTCCTCCCCTGTAGCAAGCTGGCGTTTAGGGTTTAGAGTTTTGTTTTTGGTGCTGGGTTCCCTGGTTAATGGGCTACTAAGGGTTGCTAGATCCCTACTTCCCAAAAAGAAGATCCAGACGGGGCCATGCAGCATGGGGCTGTCGCACGGTAGATGTCCGGATGCCCAGAAGTAGCCCCCTTAAGCCCCAAAACCCCCCTAGGCGACGGGCTCAAGCCGCCTTGCACATATCCTATGGCCGATCGCGACCCGTGACATCTGCGAAGCAGAGCAGGCCGCAAGATGGACCTTGACATGGTCCCAGTGTCCCTGCCGAAGGCTGCGGTGCCCATCGTGCTGCCGGTGCCCCCGGGCGGGGTGAAGGTCCTTCCTCGTTGGGCAGAGGAAGATGAGGTCTCGAGGTGGAGATTCTTACTTCGCCTTTAGTTGAACTTTCAACTTTCTGCGTTTCCTTATTTAGTAGGAATATTGAAGTTTGACCCTTTTTTCCCCTGTGGTTATTGGAGAAGTAAGGATTGAAGTACAGGCCGCATGCCACGGAAGATCCGAGCAGCGACTTTGACGAGGGTGCTGCATGGGTGGAGCTCGAACTTCGCCACTTCACGCGCGAGCTGCCCCTTTCGAACCTCGAATTCGGCTTCTTGGTAGCCCTGTGGTGCCCCTTTTCCTTTTTGTTTTGGTTCAAGGGTTCCCTTATAAAGTCACCAACCCCAGAAAAGGGTGCCCTGATGGTTACTGGGCTACCCTAAACCCTAAACCCTAAACCCTAAACCCTAGACACTAACATGGTTACCGGGCTACCAAGGCTTGCTGCACGACTTCAAAGTGGCAATTCAAACGCCCGAGGGCTGGTCGGATTGGAGCGTGGCGGCGCAGTGCGAGGCTCCTCCACCACATCCCCCCGGCAACTTACGGATACTTTGGTACATAAATTTAATTTTTGCGGTACTTTAATTCCTAAAAACAGCCGAAATAGTTTTTAGTATTTGGGTACTTTTTAATTTCCTAAGAAGCAGCCAAATTTTTGTAACTTTTGCAAGGGTTCCAGGTTCAGTGTAGGCAAGCTGGCCACCCTTCTGCCGCGGGTGCTCGACGTGTCCTCGGTGAAGGTGCGCTGGACACCGCCCATTGACAATACCACGGTCGCACCAGGCTTGAGGGTCCAGCGTTACTTCTATATCCCCCTTGGGAATTATTCTTTATTTTTGTTTTTATAAAACCCAAGAGGATAATAAACATATTATCTTTATTAAGGTTCTAAGGGGAGTATAGACTGAGTAGCTGAAGGCTCAAATGTAGTTCCTTTTTGGGTTAGTTAAAGGGGTTTCTAACCCAGAAAAGGTACTACATAGGAGCCTTTGGGTAGTAGCTGAGTACACTTTACACTTTTTGGGATACTCTAATCCCCATAGCACTTTTTTGGGGCTTATGAACTCAGCAACTAAGGTTACATGATTGTGGTCACTTGGCCACCACGTCCTGGTGAAGATGAGGCGGCGTGCAAGCGGGAGATCATGGTAGCTGACGAGACGGAGTCGTATGTCATCACGGGGTTGGAAAGTCTTACAGACTACACTTTCCAGATCGCAGCAGAGAATGCAGCGGGCTGGGGTGAGCTGTCTGATCCCACAGTGCCGATGCAGACTATGCCGCCTGTGCCCACCACCCTGAATCAGCCGACGCTACGCAGACCTACACATCACTCGGCAGTCATCCAGTGGCAACACCCTCCTTTTTCAGAAGCACCCGTGCTGTCCTTCCGCTTTCGCCACACGTCGTCAGCCGACTGGAGCAGTGACGTGGTGGAGATCCACGATGTATCGCCTGCGCTGTCACAATATGTGATTCAGGGGTTAAAGCCGGGGCATGTGTACATGTTCCAGGTCAGGGCAGTGAACAAGTACGGCATGGGGATATGGAGCGACAGCAGCATACCAATCCGCACAATGGATGGAGCAACCCCATCTACCATCGAAGACTTGCAGGCATCCGAGATATACAAGTCTTTCATTCGCCTGCAGTGGCGTCCAGTTGAGGAAAATGGCCACCCCATTACAGAGTATCGCCTCCGCTACGCCCATACGGAGGACTGAGCAGCTGAATGAGTACACTTTACACTTTTTGGGATACTCGAATCCCCTATAGAACTGAAAGTGTCTGACACTTTCTTGGGCTTATGAACTCAGCAACCCTAAACTAAACCCTAAACCCTAAACCCTAATTCCGCAAAGAGGACATGGCCGGCGCCGTAGAAGCTGTCCCAGCCGTGGTCCGGGACAAAGGCTTTGACAGGTGCGATGTCCGCCACCTACGAAAGTTGAAGTACCACTTCCAGGTGGCCATAACTTCCTTAGGAATGATGATTTTGCATTCTTTGTCTATTCAAAACACAAGGGAAGATGTAAAATGCTATGGTTGCTTATGGTTAGAAGTGGAGTACTTGGAGGTTCATGGCACGTATTGATCAATTATAGCTGTACTTAGAACCCACTTATAAGCCCTTTACATGCCCCTATATGGTTATAAGTACAGTCATATGTACAGTTGTAATTGGTTAATAAGTACCATGAACCTCCCAGTATAGGTGGCAGCTATCAACCACCTGGGCATGGCGGAGTGGAGTGAGCCGGTTTTAGTGGACATGTCTCAGAACCCTCGCCCTGACTAGCGGCTGCGTACTCTTTAGGGTTTAGGGTTTACGGGGTAGGGTCTGGCACGGTATATTCTTGGGGCCGAATGGTGGCTCTATATAGTGGGAATGGCCCTCAAGCAAACAGGACTCAACAAGGGCTCAATGTAGCCCTGGTCCACATGATATTCACCCTGGCTGTAGTGGAATTCTACAGCTACGATAGGTTTGGCTAGTCCCATGCTCAAGCTACGACACAATGCGGTCGGTCGTAGTCTCTTGGATCAGCATTTGCCTCGCATGGATGGATTGACCGCGCGTGAGGGAAATGAACCCCCAACCACTTCTTTTCACGCGCCAGGCTCCCTTCTCCAACCAAGGATTGGGATGTTCACCCTTATACCAACAGTCCTTTGTACGTTTATAATAGGGGGGGCACTATAATCCCTATTAAGGACTGTTAGTATAAGGGGGTACATCCCAAACTAAGGATCTGAAGCTTCTTTGGCTCCAACGTCTCCTTCAAAGCTACAAAAACCTCCTGAGAGCCACTCCCTGGCGTCAGGGGTTCCCCCACTACCCCACCTCTAAACTACCCCCCCCCCCCCCCCCCCCCCCCTGCCCCCTATTTTCCCCCCATAATTAAGGCTGTTTAGGAATTTTTAAGCCTCAGTAGGGTTCTTTCATGGGGGAGAACTTGGGGAGGTAGCATAGAGGGGGGTAGTAGGGAAAACCCTAAACCCTAAACCGGGGAAACCCATGATGGTGGACTCATAGGCTCCCCAAGGTTCACCCAAGACGATGCTGCATAAGGCTTTTGAACTTACTTAGCCAATAGCTGAACTTGAAGCATTTTTGGGGTTTCTTGTTTAGTAGGCACAAACCTTTTTTCCCCTTGGTTCTTGGAGAATTTAGTTTGGGCACTTTGGGCCAAAGGTAGTCCCTGAAATGCCGGCAAAGACGCCCAGGGTCTGTTCCGGTGTCCTTGTTACAAGAGTGCTGTACTTTAGGGGGACCCAAGACAGAAGGAACCCAAGTTTAGAGAACTACCCACGCAGCCCTTAGTTCAAAGATGCAGATACTTGCGCCGGATGGCCTGTTGCTTTCCAGCTCTTAGTAGGAAAGTTAAGTTGAGTGAGTGAGAAAGAGAGAGAGAGAGAGAGGGAGAGAGAGAGAGAGAGAGATAGAGACCCCTGATGCCCAAACCCTAAACCCTAAAACTCGGCCTAAACCCCTAAGGCCTGCACCTAAGAATCGGAACTTCAAAAGGCAACGGAAGTTGGGGAACTGATGTTTCAATCTTTAGAGTCACCGCTTAGCTGCTTCTTGGGGGAAGCAAGCTAGTGCGAAGCAGCTCTCCGAACTATACTCCTTGCTGTGGAAAACTCTCGGCCCGTACTACACGGGTAGTCCAGAAAAAAGGAGTATAATTTTCGAGCACCGACACTGAATCATACTGCCTGAAAGATCGCAAGCTCCCACCCTTAGCCGTCCTCGAAAGGAACTCGCTCGTGGTTTTCATCGTGAACTTCCTGGCTCCTTCGATCCAGTTTATTGGGGTTTAGGGTTTAGGGTTTAGGGTTTAGGGTTTAGGGGCAGCAAGGAGTCCAGTTACAAAAAGTGTTTAGGGTTTAGGGTTAAGGGGATGTTACAAGGTTCAAAGCCCAGGAGTCAGAGACTCTGCGCGTTTCTCGTGTGAACTGCGACTGCAGGCAGTCATGGGAATGGCCAACGTGCAGTTTCGGGCAGTGGCGGCTCAGCTGCACAGACCCCGCCTTTTTAGGGTTTAGGGTTTAGGGTTTAGGGTTTAGGATGTAGGGTTTAGGGCACCTTCGCCCCTGTGTCGCCCTCTTCATCGATCATGTAAGCTTTGGGGTGGCCTTGGATGTTCCCCCTTATACTAACAGTCCTTAATAGGGATGATAGTAGGGGGAGTAGGGGGTGCTATAATCCCTGTATAGTGGGGAGCATCCCATTTGGTGGCTTAGAAATGCCAAAACCAGAGGCCGTTCCATTGTCAACCTACAAGCCCGAAGCCCACTGGTTGTGATCACTCAGCAACTTAAACCTCGCACTCCCCTAACTTTGTCATAGTTGGGTAACATTTTACATTTTTAAGGGTACTTAAACCCAATAAGGAATATAAATTTAAAATTTTAATGGTATCCCAACAATGAACAAGTTAAGCCTGTACCCCGACACGCCCTAAACCCTAAGAGCCTGAGCCGGCGGTGCCAAACATCTTTCAAGAAAGGGTCTCCTTAGGCATTCTGCTTCAGTTTAGGGTTTAGGGTTTAGGGTTTAGGGTTTAGGGTTTAGGGTTTAGGGTTTAGGGTTTAGGGTTTAGGGTTTAGGGTTTAGGGTTTAGGGTTTAGGGTTTAGGGGGTTAGGGTAAGAGTAAAAGACAGAATCGCCGGTGCCGAGGAGTGCGTATCTCTCCAAGTCTCCCCCACCATCGGCTGGGAGCCGAGTCACGAGATCCTTGCGGGCACCGTGGGCTTCGCTGTTGTTCCCTAAAAGTTTAGGGTTTAGGGTTTCGGGCCCTCAGTCCTGGCATGAAGCAGCTTCCAGGTTCAAAAGGGTTTCGGGTTTAGGGTTTAGGGTTCCTTAATGGTTCATGTACCTACATAGTATATACTTGGCCCCTAAAGCTACTCTGCGGGAGCCCCCTTCCTAAACCCTAAACCTAAACCCTGTAAAGCCGATCCGGGAACTTGAGGCGGGCTGATTGATGCCTTCTTGGGCAAGTCTGTGGAGCAGGTCATGGCCATACAGCCGCCCGCATGAGTAGAAGGATTTCTTGGGGGGGGTTAGGGTTTAGGGTTTAGGATTAGGGTTCAGGTTTTAGGGTTTAGGGTTTAGGGTTGAGGGTTTAGGGTTTAGGGTTTACGGTTAGGGGTTTAGGGGTTTAGGGTCCAGAATCTGCTGGGCAGGGTTTAGAAATGTTTGGAGCTTAGGTTTGAGGGAAGAAAGATTTGCCGCCCAGCCTCGCTACTGCTAAGACCTGAGGTGCATCTTCCCGTCATACTAGTCGGTAATACTGCCAGCCCACGGAAGAGCGTGCAAACACATGCGGTTGCCCCGTATCCAGCACTGGACTTGAAGGATAGGGCGAGTCACTTTGTCCGGAACCAGACACCTCTGTCTTATAGATCCTGCAAGCCCTGATGGAAATCTTCAGAAAAAGTCGGGTGCTGGACTTCGCGTTCAGAATTTTGAGAAGTCGCAAGCTTCAATCGTAAGTGCCTGCCCGGGCCAGTCGTTCTAGGGGCCATTCAGCCCCAACATCGCTCACAGCAGGGCTAGACAAGTATCGTATGACAGACCCCAGGGCATAGTCCGGATTTCTAGAACAATCAGTCCTTATCCGAGAAACACCCTAAATCCCACACCCCAAACCCTAAGCCCAAACTCCTACACTCTAAACTCCCAGGAGCCCAAATCCTGAACCCCGAATCCGCGGCGTCCCTCCCTGCACCCTCGGCCCTAGGTTGGGTTAGGCGGATGGCAACGAAACCCTAAAGCCTAAACCCTAAACCCTAAAGCCTAAACCCTAAACCCTAAACCCTTAACCCTTAACCCTTAACCCTAAACCCCTAAACCCCTAAACCCTAAACTTCCCTAAACCCTAGCCCAGAGAAACAAGAAGGGACTGCAAAAGCCCTCATCTCGACCCAGAAGCCCCAAAACCCGGCAGAAAACGGGTTTAGGGTTTGGGGCTTAGGGCTTCTAAGTGCCTTTTAGGTCTTACAGGGTTTATGGGCTTTATAGGGTTGGTAGGATTTAGAGGGTTTGTAGGGTTTATAGGGCTTATAGGGTTTAGGGATCCTTTGCGGCCCTAAACCCTAAACCCTAAACCCTAAACCCTAAACCCTAAACCCTAAACCCTAAACCCTAAACCCTGAAGAGCAGAGCGTCCCAAGGTGCCTCCGCGCGGGGCTCCCGAATGTGCTCAAGGCCAACCTCATGGGATCTATGCACTGGTGCTTGGGCCCATATTTTTTGGGGGGTTTGGGTTTAGGGTTTAGGGTTTAGGGTTTAGGGTTTAGGGTTTAGGGTTTAGGGTTTAGGGTTTAGGGTTTAGGGTTTAGGGTTCAGGGTTTAGGGTTTAGGGTTTAGGGTTCGAGGTGTGTTTTGTGCGTTTGATTTTCTGCTTGGTTTTGCAGCCTTGGGGCCCAGACTCGAGAGTCCAAACCCCTAGGAGCCTGAGTTGAGGGGCACATCGACAAGACGAGTATCTGTCTAGGGTTTAGGGTTTGGGGTTTGGGGTTTGGGGTTTGGGGTTTAGGGTTTAGGGTTTAGGGTTAGGGTTTAGGGATACTAGGACCCAGAGTAGGTGCTTATTCCCTTCTTTTTAGGGTTAGGTTCCCTTATCAGCCCCTTTAAACCAAAAAGGGCATCCTTTTCTATTCCTAGGTTACTCTTGGGTCTAGCTGTTGCAAGCATCGCACAGCGGCTCTGCAAGCCAGCAAGCTGCTGCTGCCTTCTGACAAAATGAGTTGCACACTCGTGATACTGACACGTGTCTTCTGAAGAGAAGCTACAAATCTCGGGTTCAAGTGAGGGCCCTACTTTGGGTCCCTTAAAAAACCTTTTTATACACTATATATGAAGGGCCCAGACTTCGAATCCCTATAAACAAGGGTAAGGGGCCATACTAAGGGCGCATGGTTCCAACCTTTGAACAAAAGGCCCCGCGCCACAATTCGGGTCAAAGGTTCGTGTTCTGTCAGCTGCAGCCATGTTGCTTGTTGCCTTTCGGGAGTTGACTGCAGGGCTTAACCCAACTCTAAACACCCGAAACCCTAAACCTTTGGAGCTGTAGAAGTCCGAAGCCCTAAACCATCCTCACACACCATCTGACTGTGCTCCTCCTCACTGCGTGCAGGGCTTTGTGGTGTAGGGAGTTCGTGCCTGGGGTCTGTGACCTGAATGTCGTTCATGCGGGGCTTGTTACCCCAGACCCTAAACCTTCTAACGGCGTAGCAAGTCCGCATTCCAAGCGTAGAAAGCCCTAAGCCCTAGAAGCAGGGGGGAGTGGCAGACCCTAAACTTGTAAACCCTAACCCTAAACCCCGAACCCCTAACCGTTAAATAGCCTTGCGAGAGAGGCAAACCTTGCGCACGTAGCCACACTCAGGTGCCTCCTGCTGGTCCTCGGAATGTCCATCTTCGCAGCAGGCTCGGGTAAAACCCTGCAACCTGAAGCTGAAGAGTTTGGGGTTTATAGGGTTTAGTGTTCATTCACGGTTCAGGGTTCAGGGTTTAGGGTTTAGGGTTGCCTACAAGGCGGTCTCAAGATGCGTGAAGTCACAGCAGGCGTGACGGTCATAAGGGTTTCTAGGGTTTAGGGTTTCGGGTTTAGGGGCTAGGGTTTAGGGTTTTGGATTTAGGTCATAGGGGTTTTTAGCAACAGTTATGCAGAAGCAGCTCTGCACTGGGCCATTCCCAGGAGTGAAGAAAAAGACCTGCAAGTTCAACGTGGATGGCGCAGCAGCACAGATGTCGTGTCAGGCGTGCGGGTGGGCTCCAGAAATGCAACCTGCTGTCAATCCCAGAGGGTCCATGTACAGTACCCATATGGGGGTTTCAGAAATTCCAGGGGTACCTTATTGCGGTTTAGGGTTCAGGGTTTAGGGTATCGGTTTTAGGGCTTAGGGTTCAGGGTCTAGGGCTTTTCCTCGTTCTAGTTTACCCTACTATTTGACGAGTTCAAAATTAAGGGTCCCCTCATTTGCGCAAACCCCCCATAGAGGATTCGCACTGAAACCCCAAAGGGTGGGGGAGGGGAAGCATTCTCCATGTGAGTTTTTTGGACGTTCTTAATCTCTGACATGGTGGGAAAATGTGGTAGGCGTGGCACTATGTACCCAAAACCATTGTGACATGTCACTGAAATGGGATCCGGACCCTTTTTTGAGTTGCACCCAAGCATGCATAATCATATGAATGGGGATGTTCCCCCTTGTACTAACAGTCCTTCGTAGGGACATACAGTACCCCCCTTGTATAATCCCTATTAAGGACAGTTGGTATACGGGGAACATCCCAAAATATGAATATAACGATGTTCTGAAGTTCCAGGTTTAGGGGGTCCTGGGCCAAGAGCCTTGGCCCCTAAACCGTAAACCCTAAACCGCAAACCCTAAACCCTAAACCCTAAACCCTAAACCCTAAACCCTAAACCCTAAACCCTAAACCCTAAACCCTAAACCCTAAACCCTAAACCCGAGCCCCAAAAGTCCTTTCTTCAGGTTGTCTGTGCCATTAGTATCACCTTGCCGACGATGTTCGGCGCCGTGCCTGGGGTTACGTCTCACCAGGCAGCGGAGGGCTACCACATGGGGGATTAGGGTTTAGGGTCTAGGGATTAGGGATTAGGTCCTTTTTGGGGTCCTATTTATTAGGTCCTTTTTGGGGTCCTATTTATTAGGTGCCCTATTGTATAGGGACGCAAAAAATTGGAACCTAATTTAAAGACCTACATCCAAAAAAGCATACCTACCTGGACCGGTTAGGGGGGGGATATCTAGGAAGACCCTTGCCAATCAGTGCCCCTAGCCCATCTCCGTAAACTCCAGACCCTTAGCCTCAAAACCTGAAAAACCGGGAAACGCCTAAATCGCATAAAACGGGCATTGCTTCTTGAACCGCTGCCTCTCGGTTGTTGAGTATAGAGCGGGCTTCGAGGTTTAAGGTATAGGGTTTAGGGTTTAGGGTTAGGCACAGTCACCGTTCCAACCTGTTCTTGGCAACTGCAGAACCTCTTTTTGAAGAGCTTTCCTTTAGGGGCTCGGGTTTAGGGTCGTCAAGAGTCTGGGTTCAAAAAAGGTTAGTTTTGAGGGTTTCAAAACTTCGGCCTAGTTGTTCCTGTGTTGGCCCGATTGCATCCCAGGGAGGGGTTGAAGCATCCATATCCCCGAGTTGCCGTGCTAGGTCATGCTGCTTTCCCGCGTGTGCGCCATTATCTTGATCTTCCTCTACATCTGCTTCATCTACTTTCATCTGAAGACGCACAAGGCCGTGCAGCCAGGGGGAGGTAGATTCGCAGGGCGAAGTGCCTAAACTTGCCTGAGCCTCTATTCGACTCTATGGACTCTCTTGAGACAGAGAGAGTGAGAGAGAGAGAGAGGGTCCCCCAGTGGGAGTCACACGCTCTGCAAGCAAGCAAGAGAGAGAGAGAGAGAGAGAGAGAGAGACAGAGTGTGATTAGACCTGCAACCCAGGTAAACCCTACACCCTAACTCTACAGCGGTGGCTAGGCGGTGCGGGGGTAAACGGCAAGGATAATGTTAGGGTAATGTGCTGCGTGTCGCAGCCAGCTTGGGCAAGAGGTTCTGATCATCGACCGTACACTATACACATTGTCAACTACAGAGGCCAAAACAATTCTCAAAAGTACCCCCTGCTTGCTCCTGCATACTTGTACTATCTAGTCAAACGGTCTCCTACATTGCCCAAAGCCAGCTGTGAGATGTGGTCAGTTCTCCAAAAATTAGTCCCCTTAAAAGGTCCTTACTATCTACTAATTGTTTAAGAACCTCCCCAAAAAATCATCCATCATCCGTCATAAGGGCAATATAGGGATGATTGTTTTATGTTCTTTTGGGCTTTTGGGGTTCTTAAGCAACAGTAGCTATAAGGCGGCAGCTATTATGGAGGGTGCTTGGAGGTTCATGGTGCTTATAGCCCAATCTGTAAGTGTAGTTATAACCCACTTATCAGCCCCATAAGTACCCCAATAGGGTTATGATTGGGTTAGAAGTACAGTTATACTTCGGTTACTAGGTACCATGGGACCTCCAAGTAGCCAAAATGGGACCATAATTCAGAGAACTGAGCATGGGAGTCATGCAAGCAGCTCTCAGGAGAGTGGGCTTTTCAATTCTCAGCCCTAAGCCCTTGCACTCTGAGCCTCCGAAAGTTTGGTGGTGCCGGAAGAACTTTGCAATCTGAGGGTTTAGGGTTTAGGGTTTAGGGTTTAGGGTTTAGGGTTTAGGGTTTAGGGTTTAGGGTTTAGGGTTTAGGGTTTAGGGTTTAGGGGTTGCGGCATGCTGAGGCCCAGTTCCAGAACCGTCAGGCAGCCGAGGATGGCCTTCCTGACCATGTCCAGACAGCAGAGGAGGGGTTTAGGGAGCCGATGTATGGGTTTAGGGTTTAGGGTTTAGGGTTTAGGGTTTAGGGTTTAGGGCTTAGGGCTTAGGGCTTAGGGCTTAGGGCTTAGGGCTTAGGGTTTAGGGTTTAGGGTTTAGGGTTTAGGGTTTGGGGCTTAGGGTTTAGGGTTTAGGGTTAGGGTTTGGACGATACGCTGCTTGTGGAACGCTTCGGGAAGGGCATTTGTAAAAGGGATCGTGAGGCCAACTTTGAAACAAGACGATGATGCCATTGAGGACAGATCCTACACGCTCAAAGGCCCAGACTTCTAATCCCGTTGTTGTTCCGTAAACCCAAAACCCTATACCTTAAACCCTAAACATAAAACGTAGAGCTCAAAACCCCTTAAAGACACCAAAACAACGGGAAGGCTGGACGCCCTTATCCCAAAACCCGAATGAGCAACCACAATCTTCACACTGTAGGGTGTAGGGTTTAGGGTTTAGGGTTTGGGGTTTGGGGTTTGGGGTTTAGGGTTTAGGGTTTAGGGTTGGGGATATAGGGTTTAGGGTTTAGAGCGAAGTTTGGCCAGGACCAAGATCTTAGCTGCTTGGGCGCACGAAGGTGCAGCGCCTTTTCCTTCAAGGTTGTCCAAAAAAAGTCTTGCGCCCGAAGCCCTAAACCCTAAACCCTAAACCCTAAACCCTAAACCCTAAACCCTAAACCCTAACCCTAAACCCTAAGCTCCCAGACCTAAGGCCGTCTTTCCCTCGGCTCGTCCATCTTCCTCATGGTCTCCAGCATTGTGATCACCACTTTGAACTCGCCGCTGCGAAGGATTGAGATGGTTGCATCGTAGTGTTCTAGGTTGAGGGTTTAGGGTGTAGGGCTAGTGTTTAGGGTTTAGGGCCTAGGGAGTTTCAGTTGGTTTTGGATGTTTCGAAGCATGATTGCTGACTTGAGCGGAGCCGGCAGCTAGCCTTAGACTTGCCAGCCCAGTGGTGCCCCTTTCCCTTTTTTGGCGCAAGGTTCTCTTTTCAAGTGATGAACCGGAAAAGGTACCCTTTTCCCTTTTTTGGTTCAAGGTTCCCTTTTCAACCGAAAAAAGGTACCCTTTGCAACTTTTTTGGTTCAAGGTTCCCTTATAAAGTATCCAGACGGAAAAAAGGGTGCCCTTATTGAAATATGGTTACTCTGCTGCCAAGTAGGTCCTGGTGTTGATTGTCAGTCTTGGCGGGGCTAGAGCTCTACCTCCATTAAGGTTTAGGGTTTAGGGTTTAGGGTTTAGGGTTTAGGGTTTAGGGTTTAGGGTTTAGGGTTAGGGTTCTAGAAGCACAGGGCCACTGGGAACCACACCCTGTCCACCGCAGTTTGGCTGCACGACTGATCGGCTCGATTATGCAGCAGGCTTCGGAATTGATGATCTGAGGCAAGTGCTGGTCGACAACATTCTTGAAGCTTGGCCCCGTTGGGTTGCGAAGGGGGGGGGGGGGGTTAGGGTTTAGGGTTTAGGGTTTAGGGTTTTGAGGGTTGAGGGTTGCGGTTGAGGGTTTAGGGCTTAGGGTTTAGGGTTTAGGGTTTAGGGTTTAGGGTTTAGGGGGTGCAACCCGGAACCCTAAACGGCCTCGCGGCTGCAGCAAACAGCTCAGTTTGGTTTGCTTCCCGCGCCGAGCCCACAATCCCTGTGGCCTAAGCGCCCAAAAAGCCTACGTTCAATGCGTAAAGCCATGAAGCCCCGAACGAGAACGTTTGAATCCGGACCTCTTTGCATTCCACCTCTGAAGTGTGCAGATTTGGAAGGGGGGGGGGGGGAGAGGGTCCGCAAATCGGGGCTACCTATCTTGGGCTTCTTCCCGCGCTAAGGATTTTATTTTGGTGGGTACATAAAGGGTGCCCCTTTTCAGGAGATGCCCAGTTCAATTCGCCAAGGACCTGTCCGAGAGGTTCGAAGTCCCCTTGCAGTTCATCGGGGCCACAATGTTGCCCATCCTTGGCACCTCCACCGAACTATTGGTTAGACTTGAGTGCCATGGTTCAGAGGTAGAAACCAGAGTTTAGTGGCTCTCCCATGGGGAAGGCTTCTCTGCATGTGTAAGGCGATTGCCTGAGGTCCTGCTTCCCCCGAAGCCAAACACCCTGAGCTCTCAACCCTGAGGCAATACTGCCGAGCACGTCGCCTCCGTCAGCCATGCCATAAAGGCTGGATAAAGGGTCGAGGTTGCAGTTTTGAACCCTAAGCCCTACACCCTAAACCCTAAGCCAGATGGCCCGCAGAAGGAAGGATGTTGAAAGTTCTGACTCGGTTGATGTTGGAACAAGCTGAATACCCCGTGCATATACCCGAGCCCTAAACCCCAAGCCCTAAACCCCAAACCCGAAACCCCTGTATAGTTTTACGGAGTCTTCCTTACGGGGCATTGCAGTCCCTACAGGATAGCCGAAACCCTAAACCCTAAATCCTAAACAATAAACCCTAAACGATTTGGACCAGCATCTCACCAAGCTGCACATGTGGCAGTTCCCTAAACTAGCGTCCCTGTCTTGGCAGCCCAGTGGGACCCTTTTCCCTTTTTTGTGTTCAAGGTTCCCTTATAAGGTAACCAACCCAAAAAAGGGGTGCCTTTTTCGTAATATGGCTACTGGGCTACCAATCTTTTTGAAGTCCTTCTTTTACGGGTGCCGTTCTGTATGAAACAGGGTTTATGTTGCTGTTTTTGGTGAGTGTCTATAAGGTTCCTTTCTAATATTGGTGTGTGTGTGTGTATACCTTGGGTGTCCTTTTGGGAGCACAAGAATTTCAAAACCCTGCTTCATATAGATGTTGATTCCTTTTCGGGTCCTTCTTTTAAAGGTGCCGAGCTATAAAGCCCTAAAACCCTAAAACCCTATAACATGTAGATCCCGGAGGATGAAATGGACACCTCCATTGCCATTGCCCTGGGATCGGCGCTGCAGATCGCTTTGTTTGCCACGGGGCGAGCAGGAGGTGTAGGTGTATGGGCAGGGTTTAGGTTTAGGGTTTAGGGTTTAGGGTTTAGGGATTATTAGGGTTTAGGGTTTAGGCTTTAGGGTTTCGGGTTGAGGCCAACGGCCTGATATGTTGTGTCTGGACCCAGGGTTAAGTTCTGCGATGATATTGCAGGCCTCCGGTTTCAATACAGGAGCCTCAAACTCACAAATTTGCAATGCTGTCCCCCTTATACTATATATTATTCGTCTCGTACAAACTGCCCAAATTCTTCGTTCTGCTTGAAGTGGGCCCTGCTGATTTGGGCCGCAGGCCTGAGGTCACGGGCCATGGTGCTAGGTTTTTGGCTCGGCGGCACATTGGTTTTGGGAGGCTTACATGTGGTAGGTTTTAGGGTTTAGGGTTTGGGTTTTGGAGCTTTCAGCTCGCTGAAACCAGAGAAAGGGTCGGGGGCTTTGGGGTTTAGGGTGTCGAAAAATTTTGGGTGTCGCCCAGAAATAATGTAAATACGACCTCCCCCTCAGCCGAGACAGATCAGAGAGCTGTGCGACTCACACCCCTGGGGACAGATGCGTCACTTACTTAGCCAATAGCTGAACTTTAAGTTTTTGGGGTTTCCTCATTTAGTAGGCACAATAAAGGTTAATCTGTTGTTTCCCTTGGCCATCTTCATCGCTTCTACTGGGCCGGGGCTCGTCTTCAAAGAGGCTTAGGGTCCTGGTTCTTTATGGAGCAGAAAAGGGACCCTAATTTGGAGATCTGTCCACATGCTGCCTCTGGGTTCTAGAATGTTTGGACAAGCAGTTGCCTCATGTCCTTTGGGTTTGGTTTTAGGGTTTTAGGGATTAGGGTTTAGGATTAGATCATTGTATGTGCAAGTACTCTTCCGCGGGTTGAAGACACATGCGTCCTTCTACGAAGCCTGCAACCCTGTCGCAGAGCGTTTTCTTTCAAAAATCAAACTTCTTTCAAGGCTTCGGGCTTTAACAACTGCATACTGACTGCGTGAGCCACCAAGTTTTTGGGTCCTTAAGGGAGGGGCTTCAGGTTCCTGTCGGGAACCTTAGGGAAGCTTACGGAGCCTTAGGGAGTAGTGGGGAGTATTAGGGAACCCTGGTTGCCCTAAATTAGGGTTTAGGGTTTAGGGTTTAGGGTTTAGGGTTTAGGGTTTAGGGTCCTTCGGTTGCATACCTCCCATGAACCCTGCATCCCTTAAGAACCCTATAACCAAGGTTGTGCCACTCTCAGTCATCTGGGGCTGGGCTTTCGATCGGCCGATGTCCCTGAACTTCAGCATGTGCGCAGCTGTCCGCAAGAGCGGTTTCTATAGCCCTCTCAGGACGTTCTTATCTTCGTTTATATAAAGACTCACGGGAACAAGGCTGCTAAGGGGAGTGTAGGTTTTGATATAGGGGTCGGAATACTTACTAACGGTTTTATCCGTGTGGTCGTTAAACCTCAAACGCGTTGTTTGCAGAAAGAGTGGCCCGCATGGTTGCAGCCAAACCACCCGAACTGCCTTGGTGCTTTACGGTTTTTCGTTTTTTTTTTTTTAGGGGGTTCAGGTCGACTGTTCAAGGAAGTCGAAAGGATCCGGATTCAGGACCTGTTGGGCCCGGCCTCGAGTCCAGAGCATGCGAGCTGATTAGATTTCCCGAATTTGCGGGTTTAGGGTTTGGTGTTTGGGGTTTGGGGTCCCACCACCATCCCTCTATAGGAGCTCTTAAGCCCTATGCCCTAGATCCCTAAACCTCAAGATGCAGGTGCTACTACGTGTATGACCCAGAAAAAACCCTACACCCCTCCCTCCCCCGGCCAGGTACGACTCGGCGGTCATGCTGTTGGGGACCTTCCTCGTGGCCCAGATTCTCCAGCACGGCTCGTCGAACTGGCTTCACGGGGCCGCTCGTATAGGGCTTAGGGTTTCAGGGTTTTAGGGTTTAGGGTTTAGGGCTTAGGGCTTAGGGCCTAGGGCTTGGGATGTTTCCCCCTTCTACTAGCAGCCCTTACTGGGGATTTGAATAGGGGGGCGATGATCCCTGTTAAGGACTTTTAGTTGAAGGGGGAACATCGCAAGGTTTAGGTTTTAGGGTTTGGGGCTTGGCGTTGTGGGGCAGGGGTTTAGGGTTTGGGTGCAAGAAAGGTGTAGGGTTTTATGCTGCCTGCCTTAGGCCCTCCCAATTCTCCGTTTCCCTTAAACATGCCCGAAAGGCCATAGGAGTAGGGGGGGGGTAGCGATTTCTCTTTGATGGCAGAAGTTAACCCTAAACCCTAAACCCTATACCCTAAACCCTAAACCCTAGTCGCAGCCCGCAGTCTACGTATCTTCCTGCAATGGGAAGAAACGAGAGGTAACCGGCCAACACAAAACTAAACCCTCCCTGGAGGTTTAGGGTTTAGGGTTTAGGGTGTAGGGTTTAGGGCTTAGGGTTTAGGGTGTAGGATTTAGGGTTTAGGGTTTAGGGTTTTGGGCGACCTTCACTGAAGGGTAGCTACGACCCGAATGTTTCAGCAGAACCTTTAGGGGATGTGGCGAAGGCTATGATGATGATGGTCTACCTGATGATTGCGGTCATCAGTGGCTCCGCCCGCATCGTCAGAATGACCTGCTCGGCCACAAATCGCACCCTAACACCCGAATTGCGTACGAACCCTAAACGCCAAACCCTAAACCCTCAACCCTAAACCCTAAACCCCTAAACCCGAAGCCCTATATAAACCCTATGGGTTCGGAGCTACGCTTGGGGCACAAGGTCCCCAAAACATGCAGAAAACCTTAGGAGCTGATCGAGTACACTTTACACCGGGATACTAGAATCCCTTATTGACCTGAAAGTGTACAATTTTGGGGGCCTCATGAACTCAGCAACTCAGACTAGGTGCTTAAGAACCCCCAATAAACTCAACACTTCCTTAGCCTTACAAGGGGAAATTTGGGATTGGTATCTTGTTCTAAGAAACTGCATCCATTTGCACTCAACCCTTTGTGCTGGCGCAATCGCTTCGAGAAGTTGCGCCGGCCTCGGCCTGCATATTACAGCATCGCGAGTGCCAACCCTCGCTCTCCATATCCCGAAAACCCGAAAACCTAAACCCTAAACCCTAAACCCTAAACCCTAAACCCTAAACCCTAAACCCTAAACCCTAAACCCTAAACTGAACCCGAAACCCTAAGCCCTGAAACCCAAAGCTCATGGCGCAGAAAGTCCTGCAACGACCTCTCTCTCCTTGTCCCCAGTGTCCCCCCCACGACAATGCAAGAGTCCCATCCCGATTGAACGCCCCCTTTGGGGGTTTAGGGTTTGGGGTTTGGGGTTTAGGGTTTAGGGTTTAGGGTTTAGGGTTTAGGGTTTAGGGTTTAGGGTTTAGGGTTTAGGGCTTGTTGTTTAAAACGCGTGAAAGGGTCGGTTTAGGGTGGTGCACAAAATCATACTTCCAGGCCTCGGCCCCAACCAGAACCTTAAGGGTCCATGTACCTCATTAATATAGACTTGGGCCCCAAAGTCCCTCTATAGGAAGTACTTTATTAGCCCCAAGTATATCATAATCAGGTACATGGACCCGTAGGGGAACTTTCCAGATTAGGGGAGTCGACTTCAATTTGAGGGCCAGGGGGCTGTTGGGTGCCTCAAAGCCTTAAAAAACCGAGTGATTCCCCGGATTCCTAGCGGAAAAGAGGCCCCATCTTTGAAATTGGCGGGGAAGGCGGCCCGTTTTTATAACAGGGGGGAACGGATTCGACCTTCTTCCGGCTGAGATTCGGCTGCATGCCCGAACTCTGACCCTTCACCCGAAAGCCCTAAACCCTAAACCCAAACCCTAAACCATAAACCCTAAACCCTAAACCCTAAACCCTAAACCCTACACTCATGCTGCACCCCAAGCCGCTGCAGGCTACTACCCTGTGGAATGAGCTTCATCGGAGCCGGTCGTATGCTTTAGGGATGGCGGTTCGGTTTAGGGTTTAGGGTTTAGGGTTCAGGGTTCAGGGTTCAAGGTTTAGGGTTTAGGGTTCAGGGTTCAGGGTTCAGGGTTTAGGGTTTAGGGTTGGGGTCTTAGAGGGTTTGAGGCGTGGCCATAGGTTTCAGGGGGTCGTTGCTGTAGCTCCCCGCAACGTTTCACCCTGCTGCGGGGCGGACACCTTGCCAGGGGTGGCTTCGAACATAATTTTTCCGTTTTGATTACCTTTAAAAGTCCCTAAATAATCTGTTTAAATCCCTTCATCCCTTCATCCCTAAACCCTAAACCCTAAACCCTAAACCCTAAACCCTAAATAATCCGTTCAAAGCCATAAAGGTTGTTGGGCCCCCAAACCTGCCCCAGCTCCTTTGAGCTCTGGATGTACCTGAGGTTCGCGGTAGGGTTTAGGGTTTAGGGTTTAGGGAGTAGTACATGGGTGCTGTTGAAACTTGTATGGCGCTTAGATTCGTCTATTATGGGGGTTTACCATATGAAGGCTGCCTGATTGGGGTCCTTATTGTAAGGGGATCATATTATTTAGGGGGGGGGGGGGGGGTCTATATGAGGGGTCCCCTATTTTCGTAACCCCCACATGGGCCTAGACAGATCACCTCGTGGTTTTCTACTGGGCTTGGCCAAGGTGCTTAGATAAGCAGCCCGAAAATGGACACTTTACACTTGTTGGAATAAGAAAACCCCCTGTAGAACTGAAAGTACCCTAAACCCTAAACCCTAAACCCTAAACCCTAAACCCTAAACCCTAAACCCACTTTCTCTGGTGGGCTTCTGAACTCAGCAACTGAGTCGGTTTTTTAAGCTTCTCGGGGTGAGGGCGATGGGCAGCTCTGGGATGTACACTTCCCTGAACAAAATTTAGGGTTTAGGGTTTAGGGTTTAGGGTTTAGGGTTTAGGGATCCTGCATGAAAATCGAATGATCGACGACTGCGTTTTGCAGCGGCGTTCCCTTTGCCGCTTGCCCCACACTGTTTCGGAACCCAAGTTCTGACCGACCGGAAGAAGTAGAAGGTTCAGGATCGTCATTCCAAAGCCGACAATTTGAGTCTACGAGGGGGAGTGGCCGTCCCCAGCGCCAACACCGAAGCCATGTAAAGTCTCGCAGCCCTCGTGAAAATCAATGCAAAAGAGCGGGAGGTTTAGGATTTTAGGGTTGGGTTCAGGGAGGGTCTCACTCTTGTTGTGTCATAGAGGCCAGTCAGAACCCCAGTTCAGGTTAACGTCTCCTTAAGACAGCGCTTTCCAGGACTGGCCCGTTTCCACCACCTGGTATCCCAAGCTGTCTATGTCTGCAATCGTGGGCAAGTTATCAGCCAAGACAAAGAGAAAAACCAAAAAGCAACTACGAGACCGACATGGCGAAAGCAAGCCGTATTGTTGGGGACCTGACATAACATGGGGGCTGCGAGGCTGCTGTCCATGATGCAATACCGAACCTGCGCCGCACAATGCTGCATCAGAACCTCGAAACTCTGAACTGGTAGCATTTCATCCCTAAGCCCTGAGCCCTGAGTCCTGAGCCCTAAGCCCTAAGCCATGACTAAGCCATGTATCAGTCAAGGCAAGGTACCCAGGCAGCTCGCATAAGTGCTGCATTTTGGCAGGCTTTAGGGTTTAGGGTTTTGGGGCAAGCACTAGTCTAGTTTGGTTCGGGTGGGCGCAGCTCCTAACATGGATGTCAGCACATCTGCGTTAGGGTTTAGGGCTGGGGTTTAGGGTTTAGGGTTCAGGGTTCAGGGTTTAGGGTTTAGGGTTTAGGGTTTAGGGTTTAGGGTTTAGGGTTTAGGGTTTAGGGTTTAAGGGCCAACCTAGAATGTGTCGAATGAGATCTGTCATCGGCCCAGATACTCCCAGGCGAGCTTCTTGCGGGAATCTGGAATGGGACCTAAGCCACTTGCAACTCAACATGTCTGCTCTTGTAGGGTGTCGCCGCTTGAAAGGAACTAGCTCTGTGCGGCAGAGGTTTGCGACATTCCACAAATGCACTGCCGCGCCAGTGCGGAGGCTCGCAGCAGGATTTGTGCGCCGTACCCGAGGGAGTCACAGCTTAAACAAGGTCGGTGTGGGTGACTTCAGGCTCCCCCTCAAAAAACCCCAAAACCAAAAACCCATGTGAGCAGTTCTTCATTTTACGGTCCCTGTTTGGTCACTGTTCCCTTGGGGTACCCCGAACAAGAATCCAACCCTAAACCCTAAACCCTAAACCCTGGGACTTCAACCTCCATGTTTGTTCGCCGGATGTTATATTCCCATCCCCCTGATATTAAACCCCCACCCCTAACCCCCCAATATTGGATCCCCCGATATACTATAATATTATTATAATATACTTATAGTGTGAGTATTACATATCAGAGGGTCGCGGGAGGGTCGCGGGGGGGTTGGGTATGAGGGGCGTTAAGTTCACCCGGACACTTCAGGTGCCCACTCGCCCCCCAAATCAAAGGCGAATGAGCTGTGGTGATTGTGGTTGCACCCGAACCCTTAAATCCTAAACCCGAAACCCTAAACCCTAAACCCTAAACCCTAAACCCTAAACCCTAAACCCTAAACCCTAAACCCTAAACCCTAAACCGTTGCTTTGGGGGTCCAGGCATGGTTCAGGGTTTGAGGCTTCAAGGTTGTCAACTTCCATGCAAGAATGATGGGGGCCTGTCCCTCTTGGGTTGCCCTGTCGTGGACCTTGACGTGAAGCGAGAAGCCGTCTACCTTCAGAGAACATCTCAAATGTCAGAACCCAACACCTGCCGTCGGCAACACACTTCTGTGATGGGCTCTGTTTTTACTTGCAACACATAGCGGTACCTTTCCGTGCCCGGCACCATAGACTTCGTTGCTCGAGATCCCTCGGCCATGCCCCCGTCAAGCTCAGTTCCGCGAATTCGCAGACCCCTGCTCAAAACCGAAGTTTCGCGCTGCACAAATCTGAAGGACTGTGCAAAGTCTGCTTCGCACCCTGCCCTGCAGCAAAAGCTGCCAGGGCTCTGGCTCGGATGTTGATCTCTTCCGCGCAGAAATGCCCTTGAGGGGCCTCCTATCCTAGACCTGGGACACTTTATTGCACTGCCCAAGGCTTGAAAAACCCTAAACCCTAAATCCCTAGGTTCCTGAAGGGACTTCTCTTCCATACACTTCTTGAAAGGGTCCTAAACAGGTGAGGAGTGGGGTCATGGGGGGTAAACCCTAAACCCTAAACCCTAAACCCTAAACCCCAGGGAACCTTCGGAGCCCCTGGGAGTATCAGGGAACCGTGGGTTACATACCCTCTTGAACCCCTAAACCCCCTAAACCCCCTAAACCCCCTAAACCCCCTAAACCCCCTAAACCCCCTAAATCCCCTAAACCCCCTAAACCCCCTAAACCCCCTAAACCCCCTAAACCCCCTAAACCCTAAGCTCCCTGAATCCTAGACCTTGGGCTACATACCTCGAACCCATCCTCCCTCCAACTTGGTTTTTCTACCGTTTGCATAAGAACCCACCACAAAAAACACAAATCTTCCCCATGAGGGCGAGATAGGGATCCTTATTTGTTGTTATAAGTTTTTGTTTTGGGGGAGGGTTCTTCAGCAAATAGTAGTGTTTGTTCAGGAACCGAGTTTGGCTTTTGAGCTAATTTGTATTTCCGTTATGTGTGTCTAGAACGTGGAGGCTTTGCATGGAATGTATTTATAGTCTCCTTGCTGTGGAAACTTAATTTTCGGGTTAAGGGTTAAGGGTCAATTCCTTAGCAAGAACCCAGTCAGTTCCTACCCGGATGTGTCTCAACATTGAAAGCAGTATTAGGTGTAGGGACTTTATGATGTTGTTGCAAGACAAGGAAAGGCCCGCGATTTCACTTAGGGTTTAGGTTTAGGGTTCAGGGTTTAGGGTAAAGGGTTTAGGGAGTCTGGCTTGACTTCAGTCCAGTGG